GCTGCTTGCAGCACAAAAGACATACACAATCAACTCTTCCGCAGGTAAAAGATGTCAAGGTCATTATTTCTTTCAGTCAACTATGTCAGGGCCAATGAAGATTCCAGAAAATCTAGCTTTGAATCTGGATGATGATGATTGCTTCTGTTTTTCCAATGCTTGGCCCTATCATCTCACCCACTACTCATTCCTTTATTCCGATTTTCACCTGCCAAGATGGTAGTTTGTCGTTTTCTACAGATACAATTTATTACAAATTATCTATAGTCATGGATAATAGAGCACCGTCACACCTTTGCTAACAGAGACTAAAGAGCTTTTTGAATACAGGTAGGGAAGGTGAAAATATGGGAAATGAGACAAATAATGTGGTGCATACCGAATTTGCATGAAAAGATGTATGTGTATGAAAGTGCATTCAAGTTCCCTGTTAGCTTATGGCAACCCCATGAATTTAATAGGGTTTTCCTAGGGAGGGAATACTCACAGAGGTATTTTTGCCAGTTCCTTGCTTTGAAATATAGCTCACTACACCTGGTATTCATTGGCAGTCTCCCATCCACATACTAACCAGGGCTGACCCTGCTTAACCCCGGAAATAAGACAGGATCTTTTGCTTTTAGGGACTCTGAGGGCAATTTAAAACATGGTTGTAATTTCATCAGGCTTTGCGGCCATCCAACAATTAAAAATTGGATTGATGCATACTATGTTTTCAGGAATTGCTGCCAGAATTTGCATACGTTCCTTTTCCCATTCATTTTCCTCCAGTATCAAGTAAATAAGACTATGAGCATAGATTATTGGGTCTTTTAATGTCTATCCAGGACTTGGAAAATGCCAGACACATAAGTAAAGATAGTCATGACTTGTTCCGCATGAAACGCATTGAGGCCGTCACCTCTAATGGTGGAGGACCACTACTTCTGTCTGCTGCCAGTCAGGCAAAACAGCCAGCAGGCAGGAGAACAAGCAATGTGCTTTATCTGCCCACTGACCCGCCAAGATCCATGGTGTGAAAAACAGGAGCCCTTTCCAAGCTGGAAAGTGGGACCTCTGGCAACTCCGTTCCTCTGGTGATCATGTTCACTTGCCAGGGTTGCTCACTGGCCAGCTGAAGGAAAAGACATAGTGTTGCACTGAATTCACCTTTGCGCCACACAAGAATCCAGTATTACTAACTAAACAGTGTATTGAATAAAGCAAACTTCAACTATTTTCCAACTCATGGTGGCCCTAAGATGGACCTTTTTCGGGGATTTCTTGGCAAGATTTGTTTATTTAGAGGGTATTTGTCCCTGCCTTCCTCTGGGGTTGAGAAAGTGTGACTTCTCCAAGAACACTCAGTGGATTTCCACACCTGTGCAGGGGCTGTTTTGCACATATACAAACAAAACCTATGGCTAGTTTGAGGATGGGTTCCTATTTTTGCTTCACTTGTATTTTTAAATGCTCAATAGAAGGCAGATAGTACCTCTGCACATATTGTACTCAAGCCCTCCACATTCACTGGGACTAGCATTCAGGACCCCTGAAAAATAGGGAAGAAATGAATTACAAAATGCTATATATTTTTCTGTATCTGAGAGAATACCTCTCTAGAAAACTCTAGGTCTAGAAGTTGACCACTTACCTATGCTGGAGGAAGTTAACAATAGTCACACTGGAAGATCTAGAGATCAATCAAATTTGTGAATAATCAAAATATCAAAAGTTATACCCTCAAATGAGGAAGGCCGACTGTGGCTTTTGGACTTCAGCTCCCAGAATCCACAACTGTTGGCTATGCTCACTGGGATTTTTGGGAGCTGAAGTCCCACACCTCAGCTCCCAGATTAAGAACCACTGTGTTAAATCCAAAGCAGTTCCTCCTGCTGTCCTGGCTGATTTCTTCTACAATGTGAAAGGAACAAGAGTTTCCGACGTAATGTCTGCCTCTTGTTTCTCTGAGCACTGCTAAAATCCAAAGCATGGAAAATTTTGCTTTTCTGGGTCTCAGCCTCCTGAATGTCACCAAAAAAGTAACATTACTGAGCTCTGTTTAGATCCAAGTATGGGCTCTGCAATTGGTTCTTTTTTATTACAGGACAGAAGGGGGAGAATGTCTTCACTTTAACCTTGCATTTGCTTAGGAGGCATTATATAAACACTTATGTAATCTCAGAGTCCTAGGTTTTCTCAGGGACAAAGCAGATATGACGTTGAATGCATCTTTACATTTCTCATGCATCATGTGTTTAAATTTATAAAGAGCTACTGATATTTTACAAATAGCTACACAGAAGTAAGGAGGAAGAGTTTAACCTTTTCCTTCCCCTGCTATGGACAGATGAAAATTCTTACTTGCAGTGGAAGGGAAATTCCACTTGCTGTCAAAATGAGTGTTTCTCCTTATGCCAATACCAACTTCAAAAGATCAAGACTTGCCAGAACTGCAGAAGATCTGGACAAATTAAAGACCTTCTTCTCATTTGCAACAATCTTCAAAATCCTCATCCCTCCCCTTTCTCTTTCTCAATCACACCAAATGCTCTGCAACAACAATTAGCATTTTTTTAAAATGTCTATTACCTCCAAAGGCACATTTAATGGGCTTCAGGAATATCCCAGCAAACCAGACTATCTCATGATCCATCCTCCAGTTCTCATCTGTCCTAACTTGTACTACTAACCCAGAGGCATAGATTGCTATTCTGGAACACCATGGAATCTACAAGCCCAGAATAGTTAAAGTAAAGATTTCCCCTTGACATTAAGTCTAGTTGAGTCTGACTCTGGGGGTGGTGCTCATCTCCATTTCTAAGCCGAAGAACAGCGTTGTCCATACACACCTCCAAGGTCATGTGGCCAGCATGACTGCAAGGAGCACCATTGCCTTTCCACAGAAGTGGTACCTATTGATCTACTCATATTTGCATGTTTTCAAACTGCTAGGTTGGCAGAAGCTGGGGCTAACAACGGGTAGTCACCCCACAAATTCGAACCATCAACCTTCTGATCAACCATCAACCTTCTGATCAGCAAGTTCTGCAACTTGGCAGTTTAACCCGCTACGCAATCGCAGACCCTCACAAGCCCAGAATAGAGGCTGGCCAATGACGGTCTGGAGCTATAGTCCAATAAAGTAACTTTTCCAAGATCCATTTTTCCAACATGCCTTAGTTTCATTTTTATTGCTGCTGTCTGTTTTTAATCTGATTTACATGGATACAAGATAGGCAGCAAGATCTTGAATTACAATTACTATTACACACTTGTTCGTATCTGAGTTTGTTTTTGCCTGTTTTACTAAAATTTGAAAAACCACCCTGGTTTTACAGTATAGAAACACCTATAAATAAATAGAATTATTACTTTCCAGGTTTTAGACATACTAGTTATTAGATGCATCATAGAAGTACTACTAGTGCTAGTCATCATTATCGTCACCATCACCAATCATCTAAAATAGAGTGACACTATAGTCTATAGTCCTAGTGACATCAAAGAAGGAGACTTAACCTAGCATCAGCCTTTGTGGTACAAATGGAAAAACAACCAAACATACTTTGACTTTGATGTATAAAAATGACATTTGGTTTAGAACTATATATCACACTTCCATATGTAGCTCCCTTTTAAAGTGATGCAATTTCAATAACTACCTACTGCTTTTTTGAATAGGGTGTTTAATAATTTTCCATCAGACCAAAGTCTTTTTATTTGTAACTCGGGTAAAATTGAGGGTATTCATCAGTATTTTTTAATATTCCTATTGCATAAGTCCCTAAACTATAAATTCCATTCCTATATTCTTTGCTGTTGAGCAAAGAATTTCCCAATGAGAACATTTTTAGTCTGACGACTGACCATTGTAGTTATTGATTGTAATTGCTGTTTTAATGTTTTACTGTAATATGAATTATGATGTTTTATTGATTGTATGTGATATTATGGTTGGAAACCAGTCTAAGTCCCTCAAGAGAGGTGAGAAGGCCGGTATATAAAACTTTTAAATAAACAAATAAATAAATTTGTATATTGTTACAGGACATCAATACTACTATGCAGGTTGCAAAATTTGCTCTGACTGAGAAACAAAAAATAAGAACAAAGCACCAAAAAAATTAGCAGGGCAAAAAGAATGTTGCCTTTTCTTTCTAAGCCTTTGTGTTTAGAAAACCCTATGACATTAATGGGTTCTCCATAAGTTGATAAGAAATTCGAAGGCACAGAGTCATAAATGTATGCTTTAAGCTGGATGGGGCTTAATCTATTTTAGTAGTAGAAGGGAAATTTTATCATATATTTCAATTTAGTTGTTTTAGTAATGTTAGTTACTTTATAAATTGGTTTCTGCTTGGCAAATGTAAATGATATACTGAGTTAATTCTGTATTCTGATTTCTATGTGTATTTTACATTTATGTACAAAATTGTGATGCCCTAGGCTACAAACATGACATATTTATAATGTGTTACTTTCAAGCTCTGGAACGAACCAACACAATCAGAAATACTGCAATCACTATCCTGTTTATTGTCCTATATCAGATGCTATTTTGAGTCGCACCACTCAACAACAATGAAACAACTACAAATTAGAAATGTCTAATTTTTGCATTTTGTTTCTCCAAGGACAGGAATTCAAACAGCATTCCTTGTTTTCATGCCCATTCCAGCTTTCACGCATACATCCGTTCTAGCCTACCACTGCTGTCTTATAGACAGCAAAATCAAAATTCTCACTGCTGTCGCAGTCAGTTTGCATTCCCAAATCTGCAGCTGCTGAAAGCCTGGCTGTGTGCACCATTTGCGACTGGGGTAAACTTCCGTAAAAGTAATAATAGGCTCAAATCCACATCTTCTCCAGATGCTTGGCTGCAAAATCAGCAGTTGACTTCACTATTTCATAAAAGTTCCTCCCATAAGATTTTCCCCAGAATTTGATAAATATATTTCTTGAACTGGAAAGAAGTTAGTGGCCATGTTGGTACTTTCACCCTACTGTTATTAGTTTACCTGTGATTTGACATGTTCATACTCTTCTGTCCCACGTGGAACACTCCGTAGAGAAGTGAGGTAGTCAAAGGTGATAACTGCTGTCTGCAATACAATCCAGAAACAAAATTATGAACAACATATCATCTTCCCTAGTGATCCTCACTTTTTATGATAAAGTATTTGACATCTGACTTCTCAATTCAACTATAAATAGTTCCCATATTGTTAAAGCAATGGTATTCCCTGTGGATGTGATAGCTGGACCATAAGGAAGGCAGAGCGAAGGAAGATAGATGTTTTTGAACTGTGATGCTGGAGAAAAATTCTGAGTGCCTTGGGCCATAAGAAGATCAAACCAGTCCATACTCCCGGAAATAATGTCTGACTGCTCACTGGAGGGAAGGATATAAAGAGGCAAAAATGAAGTACTTGACCACATAATGCGAAGACAGGAAAGCCTGGAGAAGACAATGATGATGAGGAAAATGGAAGGAAAAATGAAGAGGAGTCAAGCAAGGGCGAAATGGATGGATGGTACCCTTGAAGTGACTGGCTTGACCTTGAAGGAGATAGGGGTGGCCACGGCTGATAGGGAGCTCTGGAGTGGCCTGGTCCATGAGGTCACAAAGAGTTGGAAGTGACTAAACCAATAAAAAATGAAAGTTCCCATATCTACCTAAAATCATATTCAAGTCTCCAAGCTCCATGTGTATCCTAATTCATATACTTACCTTTCTATCAAAACCTTTGATAGCGGGGCTTTCTTAAATACAAGCTTCCAAACTGAAGTTTGGCCCAAAATATATTGAGGAAGCAAACATAAAGCTTCAAATCACAACCTGTTAATAAAGTGGGCCTGTAGAGCAACATTTTTATTAAGTCAGCTCATCTGAATCTCAGGGAGCAAAGCACAGAAATGACCAGGTTGAAACTTACTGTGGCAACGGCTCTGCCTACTCGAACAACACCAAAATCATTGGGATCCAGTTGCTTGTTGCTGTACAGATAGAAACCAGTGGTGGCGGCAGCTGCTACTGTGGCAAGTGATGCAAGTTTTAAAGCCCTTCTGGCCATAGCAGCCAACACTGTAGAGAAATAAAGTAGGTGTCATTACATGGAGAAGAAAAGTGAAAACAGGAGTGATATTCTAAAACGATTCTGCAATGCATCTCAATGTTTAAAATAGGGAATGTATGACCTGCAACACAAGGGCCAGAAATGGTTCAAAGAGCAGAAACCCATGAATGGAGATCCTTTTGTCTCCAGATGTTTTTTGGCATTGATCTACCACCAGCCCCAGCCAGCGTGGCCTAACAGATGATGAGAGCTGGCCTGGAGTGCAAAAGTATATCGCATTCTAAAGGTCTCCAGTTCCTGGCATAAAATCTGGCCTGCTCATCTATCTACTTTTGTCTCCTGTGTAAAATCAGCACAACTTATACACCATTAATTGTTCCCAACAAAATAAATTGCAAAGTAAAATCAATACTAGAAATAGAAGGGATACTGTATAGCAGAGCTTTCCAAACATTTCATGTTGGTGACACACTTTTTAGACATGCATCATTGTATGACACAGTAATTCAGTTTTCAGTTTTGTGGGCCCCTGGTGGCACAGTGGGTTAAACCGCTGAACTGCTGAACTTGCTGACTGAAAGGTTGGCAGTTCGAATCCAGGGAGCGAGTGAGTTCCCACTGTTATCCCCAGCTTCTGCCAAACTAGCAGTTCAAAAACATGCAAATGTGAGTAGATCAATAGGTACCGCTCCGGTGGGAAGGTAATGGTGCACCATGCAGTCATGCTGGCCACATGACCTTGGTGATGTCTACAGACAACGCCGGCTCTTCGGCTTAGAAAGGGAGATGGCTCACTTCTTATGGCTCTTTATCTTTGAATCAGACTTTAAACTGAACTTGAGTAGCCCTTCAGAGAGAATAATATTATCATATCCACAACCATTGGCCATGACAGATGGGGGGTTTTTTGCAAGTTGAAGTCCAAAACATCTGGAGGGCCTAAGCCTTCAAACAGTAGAAGCCTTCAAAAGGGAGTTTGTGAAAATATCAAGGGAAAAAAGAAGTTAGAATGAATGCCTCAGAGCTTTACTGTAAGGCACTCGTGTATTACTGGCATATAAATGTGTTGACGTAATATTAATGGAAGGAATGGTGAACGCCCATCAGTCACGCAATAGGCGTCTAATACCAGATGTCCTTGTGAAATCAGTTGAGCCTAGTATCACAAAAGACACTTGGGATCTCAGTGCTGATATATCTGCACCCCATTATAAGACTCTTAGGGGGGGCAATAAGTCTTTTGCACCTTGGATCAATTGCCACTCTACATCCTTGAATCACGAGATGCACAGGATTCTTCCAACCCCACTTTCCACAGTGTGGCATATGCAGTTATTTGGACTCAATTAAATCCTATAAATCTAGCAATAATACTTCAGACACAGTCATGATTGTGCAATTTATCTGCAGCTTAAATTGTGTAATGGTAGAGAAAAGAAATAACAGAGATCCTTCTTGCAAAGACGCACGGATGATTAAAACTATTACCATATCTTTTTAATTGGACATAAGTAGAGTCATTTATAACAGATCAGTCTAAAGGCCTATCTAGTCCCATAGTAACCAACCAGCTTATGATAAGTCTACATGCATGACATGAATGCAATAGCAGCCTTCTCGTGCTCTCCAAAAACTACCAATGAGAAATCTTCCATCTCTGATAAATGTATATTCTATTGTATTTTCAATACCACATGATGCTTCTCTGCGCAGAAAAACAATTCTTTAATCAGAGGGGGGAAAGACATGCAGATAGGTGCAACCAATGCTTTACATAAAGAGTGTAGAAAAGTTATTCTTTAGGATTTTCCAGATGTTAAGAGCAATCCAGAAAGCATCTCTTCCAAATTCTGTTTCTACATGCATCTTCTAAAGTATAATTAAGTCTTGCTAAAGCTATTACCGCAATTTCTGGAATGGCACACACAGATTCAGAAGATTGGCTAAAGCAGTGTTTCTCAACCTGGGGTTGGGATCTCGGGAGGGGGTTTCAGAGTAGTCACCAAAGACCATCAGAAAACACATATTTCTGATGATTGTAGGAACCCCTTTGGTAGAGAAGGATGAAGATCCCTCCGTCTGTCCTTCTCTTCCTCCAACCAAAAGCCCTCCTCTCAGCCAAGGAGAGGGCTGTTTCTGAGACTCCAAGAGGAACGGAGAGAGCAGGCGTGTTTGGCACATGGCAGCATGGTGCGCATGCATGGAGCAAGGGAGAGCGTGCAAGGCTGGAGGGAGGCTAGCGCAAGTGAACCCGTTCAAGGTAGAGAAAAAAGCGCCCGCATGACAGGGGACTGAGAGTGGCCCAGTAGCATCCATCATTGTTTGGATTCACATTGCTCCCTGAATGTAGATGAACTACATCTCCCCTAAACCACTGTCAATTCCTCCCAAATCCCTCCAGAATAATAATAATAATAATAATAATAATAATAATAATAATAGTCATCATCATCATCTTTATTTATACCCTGCCACCATCTCCCCCAATGGGGACTCAGGGCAGCTTACATGAGGCCAAGCCCAAACAACATATTATAGCAAAATAAAACCAAAAACATAAGCAACAAGCAAAAACATCATAATTACATATAAACATATAAACACATTAACAATATAGCATTACAATAAACACAATGACAATGGGCGGGCTACATGTGCAAGAAAAAATGTTTAAAAATGTTAAAAAAAAACTCGGGTGAGATAAAAAGAGGAACAAGTTATTTCCAAGAAGGAGCTCATAAAAACAGGATTGTGGAACCAAGCTTTCCCACGAAGGGGGGGGGGGGGGCATGTACTCCAGTGACAGAAGAGTTGAGGGGAGCAGTAATGTCATATTGTGTACCTACTCGCCAAAGGCACAGCGGAAGAGCCAGGTTTTAAGGTTCTTTTTCTGTATTTTCTGTTGGTCATGGCGGTTCTCTGTGGGAAGTTTGGCCCAATTCTATCGTTGGTGATGTTAATGGGGCTCTTTGATTGTAAGTGAACTATACATCCCAGCAACTGCAACTTCCAAATGACAAAATCAAAACCAGTATTCAAATGTGGTTGTATCGGATATTTGTGCCAAATGTGGTCCAGTGAACGAAAATACATCCTGCATATCAGATATTTACATTACGATTCATAACAGTAGCAAAATTACAGTTATAAAGTAGCAACAAAAATAATTTTATGGTTGGGGGTGACCACAACATGAGGAACTGTATTAAGCAGTCATGGCATTAGGAAGCTTGAGAATCACTGGGCTAAGGGCCAGTCAGTCATTATGAGCAGCAAACCTATGCTTGTAAATACTAAGTACAGTTAGGGAAAAACAGAACTATTTTTATGAACCACCAAACTACACTTAATTAAAATTAATTTCTGAGAATAAACATAATAATCCTGGTTACCTTCTGAAGAACAACAAAACACATTTTTCAGGTCTAACTCTAAATTTAAAGAAGGCAAAACTATGGATGTTGGAAGTGTTCTGAGGCAGTGAACTCTAATAATGAAACCTTGTGCCATCAAAACTACAGTCTTACTGATATCTATTTATTTACTATTTATTTATTTACTATATTTGTATTTGCCCTTTTCAACCCTGAAGGGGACTCAGAGTGGCCTTACAATTGGCAGCAATTTGATACCCTCAACAGACAATGGAAATTAAACAAGTACATTAAAAGCAAAAATTAAAAACAATATAAACATTAAAAACATATTTTTAAAATCATGTAATCCAAGGACATAGTCAAAGACCTTTGACATCATTGCACATAATTCTACTTCACTTATTGCACAGAACTGCTGGCCAAAGGCTTGGTCCCAGAGCTATGTTTTTACTTGCTTCCTGAAGGTCAGGAGGGAAGGGGCTGACCTGATTTCACTGGGGAGAGAGTTCCATAGCTGAAGGGCCACCATTGAGAAGGCCCTGTCCCTCATCCGCACCAACCACACCTGCAAAGGAGGTGGGACCGAAAGCAGGACCTTCCGAGATAATCTTAATCTCCAAGAAGGTTCATAGAGGGAGATACGTTCAGACAGATAAGTGGGCCAGAAACCCTTTTGGACTTTATATTTATTTATTTATTTATTTACTTTGCTTATATACCGCTGTTCTCAGCCCGGGGGCAACTCACAGCGGTGTACAACATAAAAGGACAAGGTTCAAAATTCGGACACAATCTAAAATATCAATCTAGCAATAACCAAAAACATCATCATCAAAACATCAACAATATCAATAATACAAAATATTATTGCTAAAGCTAACACCTTGAATTGTGTTCGGTAGCAGACAGGCAGCCAGTGGAGCTGACGTAACAGGGGAGTTGTGTGCTCCCTGTACGCTGCTCTGGTGAGGAATCTGGCTGCTGTCCATTGGACCACTTGAATCTTCCAAACAGTCTTAAAAGGCAACCCTTATTGAGCATGTTGCAGTAGTCTCTACAGGATGTACCAAGAGCGTGAACCACCATAGCCAAGTCTGGCTTCTCAAGGTATGGGCGCAACTGGAATAACATGGGTTGATGGTGCTTGCATGGGTTCCTGTGCCTTCAGGTCTCCTGTGAAGTTATACATCTCACAGGGTTTTCTTAGGCAAGCAATGCTCCAAGATGGTTTGCCATTACCTTCCTCTGAAATACAGCCCACAGTAATAGAGCAGACATTCAGTTAACCAGAATTTTCAAGCAACCGGCAACTCCCCCCCCCCCCGCCCCCGCAAAAAAAAAGTTATTTAAATGCATACTGCATTCATGAAGCTGTTTTTATAATATAGCTTTGTGCTACAACAGTGCTCCATGCAGTCATGCCAGCCGCATGACCTTGGAGGTGTCTATGGACAACGCCGGCTTTTTGGCTCAGAAATGGAGATGAGCACCACACCCCAGAGTCAGACATGACTGGATTTAATGTCAGGGGACAATTCAGGTTCCCAGAAGACATCACGGCGCTGTTTCACCATTGCCTCACCACCAGCTATTTTCAGTGGGACAATGAATTCTACGAACAGAAAGATGGA